AACTATAAACAATCCACTCTCTCTCCTCCTCCGGTCTCCCATACACTAAGAAGAATCTCCAATAAAGGTAAGTGTTATGCTGTTAATGTTTCATTCATCATTTTGTATTGTTTCATTCATCATTGTATTGTTTATGTACTACATGTATATTTCATGTAAAAAAATTTTTTGTTTTAATACTTCTGGGTGTCAGGAACGGATTAATTGTATTTACATTATTTCTTATGGGGAAAATTGATTCGTAAATCGTAAATTTCGTTTATAGTAACGGCTCCAGGAACGGATTAATTACGAAAAACGAGGGACCACTGTATACTGCTAAGGGGAGGCTAATGGCTGAGAAGTGAACTCCATTGTTTATGGTTCGATTTCTTTCCTTTTTGGTGTACGCTAAGAAGCATCTTTTCCATCATACATTGCCCAAGTTTCAATAAGATAGTCCAACAAAGAACTGAGATCCAGTTCCCTAGATCAAGAACAAGAGCCCCTCACCAGCATCAAGGAACCTCCCTTGAGGCTCACTCGCATCTGGAAATTTCGCTCGGGTCTGGAAGCAGAAAAATCAACCAAGCAACTGCTCGTATCTGGAAAACCTTGCACGTGGATGCACTCATAAGTAGAGGTACCACTGTATTAACCCCTTGACTGTCGCAACCCCACAATCCTGAGGTGTCTCCTGGTGTCACAAAATTTCAAAAAAAAAAAAAATGATTTTTTCTTATGAAATGATAGAGAATCTTTTCCCGATTGTAATGACACCCCAAAAAAAAAAAAACGAAATTTGATGGAAAACTGACTGAATTATGCTCTCGCGAAGTTAGCGACCTCGGCGATATTTACAAATCAGCGATTTCACCCACTTTGAGCCCTATTTTCGGCTAATTCCGCTGTTCCAGTCGACTAAACTCATAGCGATTTCTTTAGAACTCCATTTTTTCTATCGATTGAGTACAAGAAACTGCCCATTTACCAATTTCAACTACCCAATAATGTGGTCAGAAATTTGCAATTTGGCCAATTTCACGAAAACTAAAAAATATGACAATTTCAAAATAAGGTCCAGAATGAACAATACAGACATTCCTGGCTCTAAAATAACATTTTCTTTGTTCATCAGTCATGTCTCCAGGCCCCTCTGATATTACTCTTGCTTTCTATTTTGAATTTTTATTCAAACAAAAAATAGAAGACTTACTATTATGTAGACTACTGCAATATTGTAATAATTGTATAAATAACATCAACCCATTCATGACTGCATATTAGAATGGCTAGTTGGACATTTATTGGACAATGACATCATTTGTTTACTTTTGAACATTGGCAAAAATCAAACATTTCCAGTACTTTGAGCTCGATTTCCAGGTTCTTTTTATAGTAATATCAATCAAAATCACCTCTATTTCTATAATATGTTTTCCATTTTTATCAAATGAGACCAAGAAAACGAGAATACAACCATAAATATTATACGAAAATAGACCACAAAGTCGGCATTTTAATTAAAAAAACGGTCGGAGTTTTTTTTTCTCGTTATGCACTGCGTGCTCCAGTATTTTTTTTATATGGTGCACACTGACCACACAGACCCATTCTCTCACAACTGGGCCTACCAGCTTTCTCCTGCTTGATTTGAAGCCGCTAGAATTTATGGGTATATATACGTCACACACGGTACCTCGTAAGATGTATATATACGGCCGCGACAGTCAAAGGGTTAATATACGTATTGCCATTTGCGGTCTGGAATGGATTAATTGTCTTTATATTATTCTTTATGGGAAAAGTTGCTTTGGTTGTTGAATCGACATCTGGAACGAATTAAATTAAAAAAACCGAGGTTCTACTGTACTTGATAGACTAAACAAGCTCAGATTTGTAATCAGTGTAACAGAGTTAGCTTTAAATAGCCCAGTTGCTTTCTGAATTAGTGAAAAGTTAATATATATTGGCTAGTGTTATTAGACAGTTAGTTATTTCACTTCTAGTGTTATCTGACTTGTTCGATCCAGCACATAAACATAATGTGAAAAAGGATCATAATTTTTTTTTTTTTTTTTTGGTGGTATTGGATATCTTGAGCACCCTCGTTCCTTAGGGTGTTGTGTAATACAGTGGACCCCCGCATAGCGACTTTAATCCGTGCAAGAGGGCTCATTGTTATGCGAAATGATCGGTATGCGAATGAATTTTCCCCATAAGAAATAATGGAAATCACATTAATCCGTGCAAGACACCCAAAAGTATGAAAAAACAAATTTTACCACATGAAATATACATTTTCCTACACACAAAGAGAAGGATACATGCACAATAGTAGAGTAGTACATGCACAATATATATTGTGCATGTACTACTATACTAAATGAAGAATAAATGACACTTACCTTTATTGAAGATGCAGCAATGACTGATGAGACACTGTGTCCTGGGAGTGCCTTTTCCTCCTGAGTACTGTAGGTCCTGTTTGGCATTTTCTTCCAGAACAGGCCTTATCACACTGTGTATGCCACTAGCGATTCTTAAATCTCTCAAACCAACCTTTGCTGGCTTTAAATTCACCAATATGAGCACTAGTTCCAGGCATTTTTCCCTGTTCACCTGGGTGTTAGTCGACTGGTGTGGGTTGCATCCTGGGAGACAAGATTAAGGACCCCAATGGAAATAAGTTAGACAGTCTTCGATGACACTGACTTTTTTGGGTTATCCTGGGTGGCAAATCCTCTGGGGTTAATTGTTTCTTGGTATTCCATAAGCCACCCACAACGGTGCTAAGCAGCAGCAGCTCGTGCAACAGAGCGGCGTGCTACAGCACACGCAGCAGCTAGCAAGCAGCTGACAGTGCTACAGCAGCAGCAGACGATGCTAACAGCAGCAGCAAGCGACGGTGACTACAGCAGCAGCTGACGGTGGTACAGCAGCAGCAGCAGCTGACAGTGCTACAGCAGCAGCAGACGATGCTACAGCAGCAGCAGACGGTACTACAGCCAGCAGCAGCCTGACGGTGTACAACAGCAGCAGCAGCTGACGGTGGTACACAGCAGCAGCAGCAGCTGACAGTGCTACAGCAGCAGCAGACGTGCTACAGCAGCAGCGACGGTCTACAGCAGCAGCTGACGGTACTACAGCACAGCAGCAGCAGCTGACGGTGGTACAACAGCAGCAGCAGCTGACAGTGCTACAGCAGCAGCAAGATTAAAAGCTTACAGCAGCAGCAGACGGTACAAACAGCAGCAGCTGACGGTACAACAGCAGCAGCTGACGGTACACAGCAGCAGCAGCAGCAGCGCGGTGGAAACAATAGCAGCAAACAGCTGACAGTGCTACAGCAGCAGCAGACGATGTTTGCTACAGCAGCAGACGATGCTGCAGCAGCAGCAGACGATGCTACAGCAGCACCAGACGGTAACTACAGCAGCAGCTGACGGTGGTACAGCAGCACCCAGCAGCTGACAGTGCTACAGCAGCAGCAGACGATGCTACAACAGCAGCAGCTGACGGTGGTACAACAGCAGCAGCAGCTGGACATGCACAGAAAGCAGCAGACGATGCTACAGCAGCAGCAGACGATGCTACAGCAGCAGCAGACGGTACTACAGCAGCAGCTGACGGTGGTAACAGCAGCAGCAGCAGCTGACAGTGCTACAGCAGCAGCAGACGATGCTACAGCAGCAGCAGACGGTACTACAGCAGCACAGCACCCCTGACGGGGTACAACAGCAGCAGCAGCTGACAGTTTTAAGCAGCGCAGACATGCACCAATTACAGCAGCAGCAACGGTACAAAGCAGCAGCAGCAGCAGCTGACGGTGGTACAACAGCACAGCAGCTGACAGGGGCTACAGCAGCAGCAGATGATGCTACAGCGCAGCAGACGGTATTTACAGCAGCAGCTGACGGTCTACAGCAGAAGCTGAGGGTACTCCCAGCAGCAGCAGCTGATGGTGGTACAACATCAGCAGCAGCTGACAGTGCTACAGCAGCAGCAGACGATGCTACGCAGCAGCAGACGATGCTACAGCAGCAGCGCGATCTACAGCAGCAGCACAGCTGTACCACCATAGTAGCGATGGTTGATTGGGGGGTTTATTATACAACCTGGCCAGCTCGGAGACACGCACTCCACTTTCATACTTATAAAATGATCTTTTTCTTCATCTCTATATAATTCTCACCCTTATTGCTGTAGGGTTGGCACTAGAAGTTTTTCTTGGGGCCCATGGTCACTTATTTTGCAGATAAAATCACCAAAAACACTAATAATACGAAATGTTCCGATTGTATGCTTGGATGTTACCGCGGAGGCTGGCTGGTAAACAATGCCACCGGCGGCACATGTGAGGCTGGCTAAGGGCGCACATTGGACGCGTCTCGGACGAAGAGCGGTGAGCGGGTTTTTGAGCGGTATGCGAGGCAAAATTTTTGCGATAAAAGCGAGCGGTATGCGGATTGAACGTTATGTGATGCATACGGTATGCGGGGGTCCACTGTACATAATATGCTGTATGGGCTCCTGTAAATTCTGTAGATCTGTAAATGCTTGTATGTACTGTACTTGTAACAGATTTTGAGTTTTTCTACTCTCACAGCCCAGCCTACACAGCCATCACAACCTGGCTCATCTTTCACATTACCTTAAATATTCTCTTCATGATTTGTTTGCTCAGTAAACCTTCCATATTGGACTTATTGGAGGACCAGGTAGCAAGTACTGGGTTAATCAATTTGGAAACAAATTGATTAACCCAGGAGATTGTGCTATACTTTTACAAGTCCATTATAAGAAGGTTTACCATATTTATCCACACGTCCTGCTGCTGTATATTATTATTATCTAAAAAATAAAAATTCACAGTGGTGTGGGTTTGTGTATTATACTAAGAAAAAAAATCCAAACTCTTGGGTCATACAAATCCATGTTGGAAGAGGGAGAGTTTTTAGTTAAGGTTAGAAAGGGCTGTGAGTGTCTAGTGAATAATGTTGATAACTTGTTTTCCCCAGGTATGATTTCCTAAAATGTCGAGTAGCCGGAGCAGCGGGACTACAAAGCAGCTTCCTCGTCATCCTTGCGCTTACCATCTTCACTTCATCTTTCGTCGTCATTAGTACATTGATAGCTCCTCTTGAATGTTCACAAAGCAAAGCAAAATTTATATCTGTGATGGATATATTAAAGGTATTATTTGGTGTATGCTTTGTCATTTAAAAATTCTATTTTATTTTTTTGTATCATATTTGCTTGAAAATAAATAATGATACACCAAAAAATTACAAAACACACAAAAAACATAACACAAAAACACACATGCACACTCATACCTGTTAATAAAACTTATTATGTAAATATTAATGGAAAAGAGATAGAAAAATAATAAGTATTACACAAAACTTTACCTATATTTAGAAGTGACAATTTTATTATGAAAATATTAAAAGAATGCTTTATAAAAATAATTATAAATTACAGAGTAATGGTTATAAATTCCTTCAGTGTGGTTACATAGTTGGTTAATTACCCAGTACTCTAAAATGACATATTTCAAAACTTATCGTTGTGATGGTGGGCAAAACGTGGTGAGCAAGTTTATCTAGTTGTACAAAGTTTATATTGAAGCTTATGAAGTTAATAACCTGAGCAAAACATTGTCTTGGTTTTTAGTAAATACTGTACTCATTAAATTTGTGTTTGGTACAAAGAAGACATTATTTTGTAATTGTAACTGAAACTTATTGAGTGATTACTCATTAAAGAGAAGACCAAGATGAAAGTCAAGATCATATAGTATTTACATTCAAAATTATTGAAAATTACCTTTGTATATATACTTAAACACAGTTGCAGGCACTGTATAAGATTTCTTCACAATTTTTGTGTAATATTTTTATGTGGCATATTATATGATAAACATTTTATACTTCTATTTTTTAGCAACTAAAGTCCACTATTGTACTATATAAAATTGGTTGTGAAATTTATAAACATTTCTTGTTTGCACAAAAAAACTTGCATCAGCATCACCGAAGAGATGTGTTATGCTGTGATATAAGCAAGATATATTGATGTGTGCCAAACCACATTGTGTTGTGTATAACCCTGGCACACAAGATATAAAACATGTTGGATTTGAAGTTTCAAGATATTTGCTCCATATTCTCCTTATTCATTACATGACTGGCTTGACAAAGTTTTTGTTTTTTTTTTACGTTTTATATTAACGTTAGTACGTCACCAATGTTTTATTTGTAAAGATGTCAGCCAGAAATTTGTACAAGCATTCACTACAGTGTACATACGTACTGCTGCACTTAGTGGTTGTTCTTAGGGATGCACCTGTCAGTGTTTCCTCTCGTATGGAAAAACCCTCTGAAATTATAGGAATTTTTTGTCATTTCTGCAGACATTAAAGAAGTTACGTAAATATAAACAATAACTTGAGAACACTCGTTCTTTTCCTGGGAGCAATGATCTGCACATACCTTTATTCCAGTTATTGTTAGATACTTAGTGAATATCATTGCAGATGTGATAAGTAAACCACATTAACTATACGGGTTAAACAAGTGGAATAACCCTTGTTACAAGGTAAAATATTTGCCTAAATAGCATCTTTAACTAGACCAGAAATATTTGCCATATATCTTATCTTGTAATGTGGGCTCAGCTGTATGAGGTGTGTGTGTGTCATGTCAGGAAAAAGCAAGGGATTTCAAGAATAACATTAAAAAAAATTCCAAAACTATTTCTTATGTTGGAATAAAATCACTTCATATATCGTACTTGTAATTTGCACCAAATATAGCATTAAGCTAATTGTAACTCCAAGCAAAGCCAAAAATTCTTCCAATTTGTCTGAAATTTCATGTTGAATGAACATAATAAAAATAGAGTAATATCTAAATTATGATCATCTACACTAATGTTAGATTAGGCCATTTTGGAACTGATCTGCAGATATACTCACTACTCTAATATTCAAACAAATGAACGTTAATGAAAAATTCACCCTCGGCTAATTTTTTCACCAAATTCATTCATATTTTGCATATGTTCATTTTAAGCTTTTGAATATGGCTTATACTATTTGTTTGAAAGAGATAAATTATGACCTGTAGATTTAATAATTACAATACTGCCTTGGGTGGTGACTGACTAGTTGACCACCTTCACTTCCTGTCCAGTTCATAAATAACCTGCATGTAAAGACAAACTTGTGATGACATTTCTGTCCAACTTGGACCATTAACTAGTTGGACCAAAACGTCGTCATAAGTTTGTGTCCTCTGTGCGGGTTATTTGTGTATTGGTCCAGTCATGGTATTTTGCCTTTTTATCCAGTCAAGTTGTTAGGGTGCAGCAACTAGGACATCTCATGACAAAACCCTGGCATTCAATAACACTAACCAACACCACCTTCTCATGCCATATGCCCAAGCCCATAGTACCTTCACCGTATTAGTGCGAGGGCGAAGAGCACAGTGTTATACACCATGGGCAAGAGAGAGAGGAAGTCCTGTTATAATATACATTTGCAAGGAGAGGGGTAAATGGGAGAGTGAAAGGGTTCCATGGAATGCAATAGGGAAAGTGAGGTTAAAGAATGGGAGGGAGGGAAAGTGTGAAAATTGGTTCCCATTTTGAACACTTAAGTAACGAATGCTTTTCAAGAATGCATTATTATCGTATACAGGAGAAGGGGTTACTAGCCCCCTGCTCCTGGCATTTTAGTCGCCTCTTACAACACGCATGGCTTACAGAGGAAGAATTCTGTTCCACTTCCCCATGGAGGTAAGAGGAAATAAACAAGAACTAGAAAGAAAATAGAAGAAAACCCAGAGGGGTGTGTATATATATGCTTGTACATGTATGTGTATTGTGACCTAAGTGTAAGAAGAAGTAGCAAGATGTACCTGAAATCTTGCATGTGTATGGACAGAAAAAAGACACGAGCAATCCTACCATCGTGTAAAACAATTACGTACAGGCTTCCGTTTTACACTCGCTTGGCAGGACGGTAGTACCTCCCTGGGCAGTTGCTGTCTACCAACCTACTACCTAGGCAAACTAATTATATTAAATTAATGGAAGTTTATTAAATATGGAGCAGGTTAGACTTTGTCAATAGAATTTTTGGGCTAAAATTTCTGCATTAACAAGATAAACCATACCAAGGACAGGGATAGAACCCGTGATCAGTGTCTCAAAACAAGATAGGTTGTACTACATTAAATTTGAATAACTTTTTTTTCTTCTTAATATTAAGTGTAGGGCTGAGTGCATTATGTGTATCATACCAAAATGTTCATAGATTAGAATCTAAGGTTATTTAAGAATATGACATTTTAATGTCAAAACTTTTTTAATCTGATAATAGTTTATATACAAGATCAACCAGAACTGTAGACAGTGTGAAATTTATAGCTAAGTTTATTATTAGCTTTGCCCACATTCATATTTCTAGGTGCTCCCCATAAGTTTGACTGCTGCTCAGCCTCGTACAGTAAGTATTCTTATACGTATGTGATTTGTTCAGTGGTTGGAATAAGCCTGAGTTTTGTCTCTTGCCAGTTTATTTCATTTGCTCATTATAATAAATCATTATATTCAGGTATGTATAATTAATCTTGGCACAGTGCATACAACAAATAGCAGCATTCCGTCCATTTCTTAAAAGTGCACTACTCATGATATAAGTCATTCCAGGCGTACATGCACTCATGATGATAGTGATTCCAAATGTGCAGCTAATGATTAATGATCATTTAAGTTTTATATATTTGTATTTTGTAATTAATAATCCGTCCACAGTAGATATGTTGGTAACATCTTAGCAGCGTTGTAAAACTGGTGCCGCATTAGGTTTGATTGTTTACAGTTACCAAAAAAGTTGTTGGACTGTATTCATGTTCATATGTACCAACCTATGCAGCCTCCAGAAGCCACTAGTTGTTAAAGAGAACTTATGTTTGTGCATTCATAATTCATGTACGATTTTAGTTTTATATAATTGTGAACTTAATGTTTCTTTGACATGTAGGTTAATACACTTTGGTTTAGTGTGCCTGTCTTGCACGTAACAAATGGAGGATTGAGCCTCCACTCTTGTGTTGAATGACCTTAAATTAAACTAATCTTATAACATTCTGATTTATAACACCTTATGATCCCTCAGGCATAGGTTCCTTGATGTTGGTGAGGGCTCTTGAATTTAGGGAATTGGAATTGTGCTCAGTTCCCTGAATTAAGCTGAATGCACTTAGTCATGCCTCCAGGCGCTGTATAATCAACGGGTTTAGCGCTCCCCTTGTATATTAATAATAATAATAATATTAATAACACTTATGATAGTATTTTTATGTATGAGTATTTAATGAAGTAACTATGGCAGTTTACTGCATAGTATATTGTTTTAAGAAAATGACATTTGAGAAGACTTGCACACTGTATAATTAGGGTAATACATTTTTGAACCAGGCGATTGCCGTCATTACATGCAGGTAACACAGATCTGTAAACATATAGGTTAGTCTTAAAATTAGTATTTGTATTTTCACTGGCATCAAAGATTTGTACAATAAAATTTATGCCATCGCAAATAAGAATTTTTTTCAGCCTAAATATTTATTTTAATATTTACTATTAGTACAGCTCAAACAAATTTACACTCAACTTTTGTTTTTGTTACCTAATGCTATGTAAAGGGCCATGATGCTTCCCTTCAAGAGAATCCCTTGCTATGGAAACATCATCTGATGCAAGGATTTGGATCTTCCTTTCTGCCAAGTACAACTTTAAATACCCTCGACCTTCTCCCTCCTTTTGCCCTCATCGTGAGAGTAAAGTATTTCTCTTTGCCGAAATCCACCTCTTGTACAGAAGAGTAAAGAAATCAATATCAGCTGTTTTAATATAACTTGTTGGTAGTGCTACAGTGGTTCACTCTAGTGGAAATGATTGTTTGAAGGTGAGTCAGGTGACCCTCTGGTGATACATTAGGTGGTTTCTGATAATGGATATACTATTGAAGGGTGCCTACAAATGCAGCAGTGATAGTGTTTAACCCCCTGGTATTCTCAGTTTGCTGGCCACCATTGTTAACCAAAAGATAGCTGTGAAATTAGTGCTCATGTCTAAACAGATGAGTTTGCTAATCCTTGCTTAAGCACTTGTGGAGGGTGGATATGAGGTAGTTTTAAGATAAACTGGAGAAGTTTCTTGATGCAAGGGGTTAGATTATCTTTCCCTTCCATAGATGGAAACTGATTGCCTCACATTCCCATAGGCCAATGCAGGGAAACAGCAGAGGTGACCATGCTCAAGGTGGATATTTTATTTATTAGTTTGTTTCCATGATAAATAAGACATTGCTTTTGGATCCTAAATAACTGCAACACCCTTACCAACCCCTGCATAGCCATGGACCAAGAAACCAAGAGTTCCTTGCCTGAACCTGGTAACTATTTTACCTGCCTCTAACTATACATTTGAACCCTGCTTTACCTTGACCTTAAACCCAGCCTTCCCCATGACCTTACAATTCTCTGATTGAGTGTAGAACAGATTAGTTCAAAGCATTTTCCGAAGACTCGAAGGTCTTTCATTATTATAATCAAAAAGAAGCGCTAAGCCACAAGGGCTATACAGCGCTCAAAGGTCTTTCAATTATTATTATAATCATAACTAAGTGCTAAACCTACAAGGGTCATACCGCACTGCAGGGTAGGGCATGCTAAAGGTTTAATATACAGTGGACCCCCGGTTAACGATATTTTTTCACTCCAGAAGTATGTTCAGGTGCCAGTACTGACCGAATTTGTTCCCATAAGGAATATTGTGAAGTAGATTAGTCCATTTCAGACCCCCAAACATACACGTACAAACACACTTACTTAAATACACTTACATAATTGGTCGCATTCGGAGGTGATCGTTATGCGGGGGTCCACTGTACTTGATTAGAGACTAGCAAAGGTGGAGAGCATAACAGAGGTAGCTAGTAAGGACAGTCTGAAGTATAATAAAAGTTTGTAATAAATCTGTTGCCATCAAAGTTAGAGGGAGTGTGTCAAAGGTTGGGCAGTCAGCGAGGAGGGAAGATAATGGTCAGTAGAGAGGTGACAGTGCCTGAGGGAAATCCTGTGTGCTTGCTGGTAGACAGGACAGTAATAGAAAATGGTAAACTAAAATTGAAATTATCGATTCTCGGTGGAACTGGGTGCCTCTCTGTGAGATGCGTACCTGTTGCAAAGACGGGAAAGCGCAGTCGCCCAACCGTGACATTGATAAGAACAAAATATCTTCCAAATATCCAGTACTAATACTGTACAGTATATCAAGTGCCTTTTTGTGCTCATTCAAAGAAATATACCAACTGCAAGCCTCTCCTCCTACAGGAAATATTTACAAAATATTTTTTTTTTCCTCTTAACCAATAAACCCACAGGCTTACCTTATTTGCAAGGAATGTGACCACTGTTGGACAAACTAGTTCCCTGTATGGTTTGTGGAATGGGATTTCCTTGAAACTAGCCAGAGATTCGAGATGCAATTAAATGTCTTTCCCTTCCTTACATCGAACCTAATTACCTCCCATTCCTCACACATAATCACTGTTTTTGCAGAGGTGCTCAGAACACAACAGTTTAGAAGCATATACGTATAAAGATACACAACATATCTCTCCAAACTGCTAATATCCCAAAACCCCTCCTTTAGAGTGCAGGCATTGTACTTCCCATTTCCAGGACTCGAGTCTGGCTATATAAAAATAATAATATATAAAAATAAGCGGTTTCCCTGAATCCCTCCACTAAATATTACCCTTCTCGCACTCCAACAGATCGTCAGGTCCCAAATACCATTGGTCTCCATTCACTCCTATCGAACACGCTCATGCACGCCTGCTGGAAGTCCAAGCCCCTCGCTCACAAAACCTCCCTTACCCCTAGTTCTTGTTCTTTATTTCTGCTTATCTCCATGGCAAAGTGGAACAGAATTCTTCCTCCTTAACCTACGCGTGTCATAGGAGGCAACTAAATGCCGGGAGCAATGAGCTAGTAACCCCTTCTATATAAAATACTAAAAACAAGGAAAAGAAAAACTTCATAAAATTTGGATGTTTGAATGTGCACGGATAATAAAAAATGATTGCTAATGTTATGAATGAAAAGTAGTTGGATGTCCTAGCCCTATGCAAAACAAAGCTGAAGGGGGTAGGGGAGCAGGAAGATGGAGGGAATACTTTGAGGAATTGTTAAATGTTGTTGAAGATAGGGAAGCTGTGATTTCGTGTGTAGGACAAGGAGAAATAACATCTTACAGGAGTGAGGAACAACCAGTTGAGTGTGGGGGAAGTACTTGGGGCAGCGAGTAGAGTGAAAGGGGGTATTATTATTACTACAATCAAGGGGGAAGCGCTAAACCCGGAGGATTATACAGCGCCTGGGGGGGGATGTGGAAGGCATTCAGGCTTAATTTGGGGAACTGGAGCACAGATCCAATTCCCTAAATCAAGAGCCCCTCACCAACATCAAGGAACCTTCCTTGAGGGGTGTGAAAGGGGGTAAAACAGCTGGGATTGATGGGATATAGATATGTTAAAAGCAGGTGGGGATATAGTTTTCGGAGTGGTTGGTGTGTTTATTTAAAAAAATGTATGGAAGAGGGCAAGGTACCTAGGATTGGCAGAAAGCGTGCATAGTTCCTTTGTATAAAGGCAAAGGGGACAGGAGAGTGTAAAAATTATACAGGAATAACTCTGTTGAGTGTACCTAGTAAAGTGTATGGTAGTTATTATTGAAAGAATTATGAGTAAGGATAGTAGATGAACAAGGAGGCTTTAGGAAAGGTAGCAGGTGTGTAGACCAAGTGTTTGCCATGAAAGATCTAGGTGAACTGTATTTAGATAAGGGTAAAGAGGTTTTTCTGGCATTTATGGATGGATAGGGGGCAATGTGGCAGATGTTGCAAATGTATGGATTATTATTATTATTATAATCAAAAAGAAGCGCTAAGCCACAAGGACTATACAGCGCTGCAGGGCAGGAAGGAAGCGAGGGCATCAGGTGGCAAAAGGGAGATGGATGAGCAACAGGTTACGGATAACAGCGGGGCAGTGGATGGTAAAAGGGTAAAGGGCAGCAAGAGACTGAACCAGAAAGGGCTGAGGGAGTGCGAAAATCCATCAGAGTTTGTGGAGAAAATTTCAGTCGTTGTCAAGAAGTCAAGAGAGAGTCAGGATTAAAGGAGGGTCCATCAGCAAGAAGGGAAGGTAAAGAGAGGTAGGAGAACGAAGACGACGTTGGAGGTAAATTCTGCGTGCTCGTTGAAGAGAGGGCAGTCTAACAGAATGTGGCTAATCGATACTGGAACTTGACACTGCTCACAGAGAGGACAGGGGGGCCTCTCCATGAGTTTACCCATGAGTAAGACGAGTGTGGCCAATGCGAAGGCGGGA